TGATAAAGGTCAAAGTATAATTTTAGTCATTTAACTTTACATAAGATTTTAATTTGACAATTTAATTTTGTAAAATATATTTTAATTCTTCAGTCTTAACATAATTAATTTCAAATGATTATCTTTTGTATTAATCATTATTTTTTTAAAAAATTAAGGGAAAATCATTCTAAAGTTCCATGGAAGTATTCAAAATATGCTGAAATCCCATGAATTCATCAAATAACTTTCAGATCCCCAAGGACCTAAGGGTGAATAAGTCTGAAAATAAAATTATTGATTTGTCCTCTACTATTAAAAAGAAAATTTTACTTGAACGCATGTCTCACAAAACCCATGATCAACGATACTGAAGATTGATGCATATCCATAATTGTTGATCAGGGTGAGGTAATTTTCACTTCCCTATATCTATGATTATCGCCCTTGTCTTCATCTAAGTGAGGTGGGAGTGTTCATCTGCGACTGTAGTATTTCATAGATAGAAAATAAAACAACGATTGTTGAGCGAGTGAACGATTTCATATGCGTTAATGATTTCAATATTGTTTGAGAATAGGATAATACTTTCTGGGTATACCTACGATCATTTGATTTACATAGCTAATGGGTATGGATTTATCTGATGCAACATTGATACATTGAAAAATATCTTATACGAATAACTCTACATGTTATTAATAGTGTATTATTGTGTTGTCAATATGCTATGGATGGTTGTCGATACACTGTACTGTGCATGATGACTTATAAGAATGCTTATACTACTGTAAAACATGTATTATGCTATTTTTTTTTTCATATAGAGGACATTTTATATATTATTCTCAAGCATTTGTTACAAGTTGGTTTTGTTGAAAAATCTCTATTATGAAACAATACTGCATTTTATCAATAATGGATGAATGTGTTGTCATTATGTTATGTGTAGTTGTCAATACACTATGTGTGGTGTAAGTTGACTTGTAAGATGGTAAGTTCTTCTGAAAAACATATATTATATTTTTTCATATAGGGAACATTTTCAAAATTATGACCAAGAAAGTATGCAATATGTTGGGGAGAATGTTAGAACAAGAACAGTAAAGGAACGAACAATGTATGAAGAACTGACAAGAATGATATCGTTAAATGAGTAGCACAAACATGCTCTTGTTTGGCATGGCAAATGAGTAAAATACTTTGTGCACATGCATGTGCAGCAGTCAGGCTAGTTTATAGCAATGTGTATAATTTTATGGATGAATGTTACAAGTTTATAGCTCAACAAAAGGTATATGCCAGTAACATGAGGCCGGTGGCCACACATGACTGTCCATGTCTATAAGCATTGAAGGTGACAAATTTATTAACCCAAACCTGCTTGAAGCTGCCAATGACTATAAGGCTTTTGGGTAGGCCAAAGCATAAAAGAAGGGAATCTCAAATAAAAAACAAAAGGGTTTATCATTGTGCAAGATGCTATGAGACCGGTCATACCTCCAAGACTTGCAAAAATCTTAATCCATGTTAGAAAATATCAGAGACAAGTGTACTTTTTTGTTTATATATTTGGAATTTTATTTTTTTATTTATTGCACCTAATATATCAACACTTGTCACTGAAGAATGCATAGCTTGTCAATGAAATGATAACCTGTAGTCAATCGGTTCTCGTAACTGGTCAATTTTTAAAGGAAATTATTGCACCTAATGTATAGTACTTATCAATGAAAAATGCATAGCTTGTCAATATAATGATAACTTGTAGTCAATGACCAACGTTAAGTAGTCAACAGGTTCTTGTAACTGTTTGGTTTTTAAAGGAAATAATAGCACATAATGTATTAACACTTGTCAATGGCAAATGCATAGCTTATCAATATAGTGATAACTTGTAGTTAATGGCCAATGGCAAGTGGTCAACAGGTTTTTATAACTAGTTAATTTTTAAAAGGAATAACAGTACTTAATGTATCAGCACTTATCAATGGTGGATGCATAACTTGTCAATATAGTGATAATCACTTCTCAATTACCAACAGCAAATAATCAATATGTTCTTGTAACTTATTGATTTTTAAAAGGAGTAATAGTACCTAATGTATCAGCACTTGTCAGTGATGAATGTATAACTTATTAATATAGTGAGAGCCACTTGTTAATTGCCAACGGCAAGTAATCAACAAGTGCTTGTAGTTTGTTGATTTTCAAAGGGAATAACAACACCTAATGTATTAGCACTAGTCAATAGCAAATGTATAGCTTATCAATAAAGTGAAAACCACTTGTCAATCACAGTTGGCCACTTATCAACATTTAATTAATAAAACAAACTATTTGCCATATTTACAAACTTGAAATCACCATTCATAATAACATTGTCTAAATTGACTACATGAAATGGGCCAACTATATAAAATGACATGATTATTAATAAAGTTATATCCTAAAGTTCTATAAATAATATTCTATTTTATCTTCTTCCTTTATTGGAATCTTTCTAATAAGAGCATAGCTTCGTGTTCCTTCACATTGTTATAATGACTCAATAGCCACCACAAGAATTGTATCTTCTTTCTATAGAGGTCATTCTACACACAAGTCAGTCTCATAAGGTATAACAGAGATTTTTCAACAAAATAAACTTGTATTAAATGTTTGAGAATAATATATAAAATGTCCCACGTATAAAAAAAACATAACATAATACATGTTTTTCAGTAGTATAAGCATTCTTATAAGTTATCTTGCACAATACAGTGTATCAACAACTATCTATAGCATACTGACAACACAAGAATGCATTATTGGCATCGTGTAGAGTTATTCATATCAGATAGTTTTTAACATATCAATATTGTACCAGATAAATTAATATTCATTAGCTATGCAAATCAAATGATCACAGGTATACCTATAAAGCATTATCCCACTTTTAAACAATAATAAAATCATTAACGCATCGAAATCGTTTACTCACTCAACAGTTATTGTATTATTTTCTGTCGATGAAATACTGCAGTCGTGAATGAACACTCCTACCTCGCTTAGATGAAGACAAGGGCAATAATCATAGATATGAGGAAGTGAAAATTACCTTACTGTGATCAACAATCATGAATATGTATAATCTTCAGTATCGTTGATCATGAGTTTCATGAAATATGCGTTCAAGTAAAATTTCTTTTTTAATGGTAGAGAACAACTTAGTAATTTTATTTTTAGACTCATTCACTCTTAAGTCCCTAGGGATCTGGCACCTATTTGATGAATTCATGGGGCTTCAGCGTATTTTGAATACTTCCATGGGACCTAAGAATGATTTTTTCAAAAAATAAATTTAATATGTCAACATTTAAGACTATTCTATTAATATTTAAAAGGATTAAAAAATATTTTATAAAACTAAGGGACTAAAATAAAATGTTATATGAAATTAAAAAAAGTGTATATTTTAGCTTGCAACAAAAATACAAACAGCTTGCAAGGTAAGAAACAGTGGGAAAATACAAAGAGATGGAAAGCTACATTACACTGGGGGCTAGATTTCTAAAGTAATTTTTGGCTAGGAAAGTATGGTTAAGGGCATATCTGGATACACAAATAGAATTATTTTGGATCCAAAATCATGATTTTAAAAAAATTTTATTCAAACATCTCCAATTTTTTAAAACTTGATTTGCCTTCAAAAGTTCTATTTGGTATAAGTTATCTTTTTCTCAACTTTTGTATCAATTATCAGCATTTAAGTATTTTTTTTCATTTGATAATTTATAGTTGATTTTTAAAAATTGTCCTGATACCTTTATGCTATGCTTGGCTCACAGGAGAAAATAAAAATGAGAGAAAATTAGAGGAGAGAAAATGAAAAGAGGAAAAAAATAGAGGGATGTCATTTTCTTTTATTGTGTCTGGTTGAGCAAAAGAAAACAAGGACAATAAAAAAATCATTACTTTTATATAGACAATAATAACCTTTTTATTTATAAAAATATTTATATATAATAAGATTTAATATTTTAACATATTATATACTTAATAATTTCTATTGAATAAAAATATAATTACAAATCATTTTATTCACTATAGAAAAAATTATTTTATCTAATTTATAATTTTATTTATTAAATTATTAAACATATAATAACATTAAAATTTTCAAACTACAATCAAATACAAAAAACTTAACAAAAAAATTAGAATTAATATTTGTTTAATTAATCTAAAAATTAAATATATGACTTATTTAACAAAAATCTACGATCAAAACATAACTATAATAAAAATATCAAATGTTAATTCAGTTATCAATAAATTTTATAATAATTAAATTTTTATTAAGATTTAAATATAATTCTCCCAATTTAAAAATGGATGAGTAAATTTAAAAATGATTTTTTTTTCAAAATTTCTCTATTATTGAAGAGAAAAATTGACATAAAAATATATGAGTCCTACGTTCTTTTTTGTTTTTTCACTTTTTCCCTCCCACTCAATCTTCTTTTCATTCAAGCATAACATTAATTATTAAAATTTATTTCAAAAAATATTATTTAAATATCACCACATCACATTTTATTGATCAATTTTTTGTAATTGAAATTCAAACACACTTTAAGTATAAACTCAGATGCAGATTTGATTAGCAGAATCTGCTGTTTACCCGGCAAATAGAATTGTACTTTGTGCTGGTGTTTTGGCTCTAATAGCCTTATTTTGTCCCGCGAGAAAATTTAGGCATGCTAATCTTCCAATTGAGAACTTGAAAATTCTTTTAGCCAAAAACGAAATCGACGGTTAAACAGATAAAAACCAAGATAAATCTGTCCTTATTTTTATGTAAGCGTTTATTTTATTTTATTTTCTTTGATTTTTAATGCAGTTTTATTTACTGTTGATCGCATAACATGATACATTTTTAAATTTTTTTGGTATAAAAAGAAACTCATCCCAAAAATAAAAAAATCTGGGGGTTTTATTATTTTATCATCATTCTCATTTAATACAATTTGTTCTGGCGGTTTTCCAGCTGTTTTCCCATTTCTTTCGCAGGAAAGCAACAGCCGCCATTATTGGTGACAGTGGTGCATTCTTCCTCTCCTTTCTGGAGCGATACACTTTGTTTCCATCGAATGTTTACAGACGCTCTGCAGATTTGATCCATATTCTCTTTCTCGGCACTGAGACTTTGGGTAATTAATCATTCCTTTTGTCTTGGGCTAGGGTTTGCATTTTTGCTGAGGTGTGCAATTTCGTTTTGGGTACTAATTCGTCTGCGTGCGAACTGCGAGTGCATAAAATACATTGTTAGCGACTAATTGTTGTTCATCATGCTGTTGAATTGTTGGCAGGGAAGTTTTGGTGGAATAGTTTGTCCAGAATGGGGGAACTGGTTCCAATTTACTTCAGTGTTGTCGCTTTCTTGTGCACAAGTGGAGCTATTGCTTTGGCTGCTCTGCACATATTCAGGCACCTCTTGAATTACACTGAGCCTACTTATCAGCGGTTTATTGTTCGTATTATCTTTATGGTCCCGGTGAGCGATTCTACGATGTTGTCTTCCTTTCTCTGCTTTTTGATCGTGGGCGTGATTAGCATTTAAAATTCATATTACGCGAGAAAAACCGTTTGCTGTTGTTATTAGTTCATTGCATAACTCTAGGTTTAATCCCTGTTTATCTTATTTGAAGAATAAATGGTTTTCACGGTTACTGGTTTATCATCTTTGGGATTGCATCTATGGTACATGAAATGTGCGGTGCTTGATTTTTTTTTTTTTAAAAAAACTTATATGTCTTATGATAAGCTTTCAGAGTTGAGGGATATATAAAGAGGGCGTTGTTTGTCTAAATGGAAACTGGGGTTCCTATCTAATCTGTGCAAGTTTTATTTTGTTTGACAGGTCTATGCATTGATGTCTTTCTTGTCACTCGTTCTACCTGAGAGTTCAATCTATTTTAATTCCATTCGTGAAGTGTAAGTTCATCTCAGTTTCTGTATATGTGTCGGTCACTGAATTATCCATTCTGTATTTTAATTCCATGTGTAGGCTATTTTGGTTTTTACTATACTGAATCATCTCTCGAGCACACAGCATGGCATTTTTTATGTTTCTTTTGGTAAGCTGGTACGGCCAAACAGTGCGTTTCTTAGAAAAGCATTTCATCCGTCATGTATGTGACAAAGGGGTTGAAAGTGAGCACCATGGAATGGAAAACTGGACCGGACCGGCTGGGTTGACTTGTGAATTGGCCTCTCCACTGGTCCGGGTTTCTAGTTAACCCAATTTGGCAGTGACCCGGCTTATCCTAGCTGACCCAGGGTCAACTCAGGGTAATCGGGTAACCTGACGGGTTGTTGGGTTGACTGGTCACCTTTTTTTTTTTAAGGGTAGAACCCCCAAAAAAATAAAAAAAAACTTTTTTAACTTAAAAAACCTTTTTTGGGGTTTTTATTTTTTTTAACTTAGCTCTAAAAATTTAAAAAAAAAAACTAAAAAAGGATTTAGAAAATGAATTTAGTCTTCGAGTCTTGGCATTTGAAAAACAAAGGCTTCTCTAAGTCCTGAATCTCTAGTGGATGAAACTATGGATGCTTCATCAATTCTCGAGAGAGATTATGAAGGTTTAAGTCTACTATCGAGTGTCTAATACAAGTATATAACATTAAAGCTCCATCAAATTTTTTTACACATTCATTAGTATTAATTCTTGTTTGTTGTAGGTAATGAATATAGGAATGTTCCAAAGCTCTCATCTTTGCCTAATGATATTGCTAATGGTTCTAGTTTTTGTTATTCAACTCCTAATGTCTCAATGCCAAGAGATTTGAATGAAGTTAATGGTGATTTTGGTATTGGTAATTATTAGTTTTAGAATTTTTGATGATTGAAGGATTGTAATTGCAAGGATGAATATTTAAAATGTTGTATTTTATTATTTTTAGAGTTTTGGGTGGTTGTATTTCTATAATTATTGTTTGTATCTTGTATTGGAAATTAATCTTGGATTTAGTTGAATGTTTTCATGATTACTGTCTTTTTATTTAAATTATATTATTTTAATCATGACCAGTTTATCTTTTGGGTTGACCCCCGGTTCAACTCCGGTTGAATTACTAAGCGGTGACCCATTGGCTTGATCGGTCCGGTTTTCGGTACCTTGGTGAGCACTGTTGCTGAGCAATGCTCACGAATACAGTCACAAGAGTGGGATGGCACTTCATTTTCTTCCAACTCCTTTGTCTCTAGTTTTAGTTCATTCTATGAGTATTTACTTCTCCCTCATGGGCAGCTTGTTTTGAGAGTTGATTTTTGGGAATTACAGTCGTTAACTAGGATGCTTATTTATTAATTTTTTATTTGCTACTGTTTCAGGTATGAAGCTTGGGTCATTTATAATTTCTTTTCGTTGTGTCTAGCATGGGTTGGTGGTCCTGGAGCAGTGGTTGTAAGTTTGAGTGGCCGGGTTCTGAAGCCATCGTGGTATCTGATGACTTGCTGCTTTCCACCTATTCCGCTGGATGGGTGGGTTACTTTAAACATGATGCATATCTTTGGATTTAAATCTTTTATTCTTGAAATAGTTGTGATTTTATTTTCTCAAAACTGCGCCCTTAAACTTTTCTTGGAGATTTTGAAGTACCTAACATCTTGATATTTGAAAGCGGTTTGCAAGATGAAAATTTTACTGTAGAGTTTTGAAAAATGTGAACCTGGACATTCCATATAAGCAAGGAATTTTTGAATTGTGACCCACTTGTATCATGGCATGATCATATCCTAGTTGTTGACATCTCTTATTTTTGGAACTTTGCTGCAGGCGTTTTATACGGAAATGCAAGCAAGGTTGCCTGCAGTTTGTGATCTTGAAGCCCATTTTAGTTGTTGTCACACTTGTGCTTTATGCAAAGGGGAAATATAGAGACGGAAATTTTAGTCCAATGCAATCGTACTTATATCTCACAATCACATATACAATCTCATACACGATGGCTCTGTATGCTCTTGCATTGTTTTATGTGGCATGCAAGGATCTTCTTCAGCCATTCAATCCAGTCCCGAAGTTTATCATTATAAAATCTGTTGTATTCCTGACTTATTGGCAGGTGAGTAAAATAACCCTTGGGAAGAAGGATGACTTGTTTGATCTTGAGATTGTTATTATTTGTTTGTTTGGAGTATGAATTGCTGAACCTGCCCCCTCCAGGGGGAAAAAAGAAAAGGAGAGAAACATAGATAGAAAATTAATGTCTTTGCAGCTGTATTCTGGGATTTAATAATTCTTCAAGAAGAGACACTGGATATAGTCTGCAATCGCATTTCTTGTTTCTGATTGTAAGAATTGAGGAAGCAGAGGCGCTGTATAATTTATTTATTAATATACGTTCCAAAAGTTGAGTTTGCTGTCTGGGCGAGCATAAAACTTAAAACGTATGTTTCCTTGTGAAAGTTATCTATAGTCATACTTGTCTGTCATACATCTAGATTTAAATTTGTCATATCTTCTGCATGTGTCTTTCTTTCAGGTCTGTTGTTTTTTCTAATTTTAGTCAATAGTCAAGATTCATGCACTAATTTACAATTCACAGCATCGTGTTTGTTTCCTATGATGCCTAGAATGAATGTTATTTCTATGTTTAGACCATTCAATTTGATGTGAACTGGTGTTTATTCTCTATTTATCCGATAGGTTTGAACCAGGGTGATGTTGCCTTGTCCGCTCCACATTTTAGTGTGTTAATTTTTCATTTCTGCCAAATTGAGATTTGTCTATTTTGCTTGATACTTATTTCTCTATAACCACGGTGATTTTGTCTCGTTCACATTTTAGGGTGTTTTAGTTTTCCTTGCTGCGAAGTTGAGATTTATTCAGGATGCGGAAGAAGCTGCTCTACTTCAAAATTTTATCATTTGTGTTGAGATGCTTGTCGCTGCTGTGGGTCACTTTTATGCGTTTCCATACAAAGAGTATGCTGGTGCTAACATAGGTGTAACCCGTGGTTTCACAGCTAGCCTGGGGCATGCCTTAAAGTTGAATGATTTTTACCATGACACAGTCCACCAGGTGAGTCTTCTGTTTTATATATCTTGTGTATGGTTTTTTGCACTGGTAGTACGTGGCTGGCCATGCATCAGGGTTATTGCCTGGTTTAGCTACCACTAAGCTGCAATTCTCCCGTTTGGATCTTGTTGGGAAGAATGTGCTGATTCGACTAAAACTTCTGGCAGTTTGCACCAACATATCATGAATATGTTCTCTATAGTAACAGTGAAGGCGAGGAGGGAGCAAGGAAGTATAGGTCGCGGACTTTTGTTCCAACGGGCCCAGAGATGGATAGTGCTAGAAGAAATAAACCGATATCTGGGAGTAAGTTAGATGACATACAACTCTCTTGTGTCCCTCCATTTAGTCCTAGCACTCCCATGAACTCTGGCTCTGCATCTGATGCCCCTCATTCTACTGAAACGGGATCTTCCTTGCTTGTGGATATATCAAATTCTGTGCCTCTGCCATACTATATCGCCCTTGTTGAGCTGGATCCATCTAGTTACCCGGAAAAAGTTCCTGCAGCTGATAAAGATAGTAATAGGTGATTTTGACAGGCCCTTTGGATATGTTGTTGCCTGAGACAGAAGAATTTGCAGGGTGGGAGTTGAACATTTCCGTTGTGGTGGAAGATAGCTAACTGTTCTTTGCGTATTCTTGTGAAGAATGGGTGCTGTGCTCCCTGCGTCAACTGGGTCGATGTGACTTCGCAGCCCTCAATCTGCCACAGCCCCTAGCGGAAGTGCAAAGCGGTCCTCAACTCAGATTGTGATTGTCTCCAGTGAGTGCATCTTTTGTGCATGTTGTAGATAGAAAACTAGTGTCACGATTCAAAGGTAACACATACTCAGCGCGCTGGAATCAACATCAATTTATTGATTTATTTATTCTTTGCACATTCAAATTATCCTTGTTGGGTTGCCACTGCCGCCTTTTACGCTCTCTGCATATCGTTGGTTTTTTTTTTTTATAGAAAAAATTAATCTTTTAATTCTTTAACTTTTAGTTCACTTGTAACTCAGTCTCTCAACTATGACTCGATCCTTCAACTATGACTCGCTTATGACTCGGTTCCTCAATTATGACTCGCTTATGACTCAATTTCTCAATTTTTAAATCATTTATAAATTAATCCTTAAACTTTTGTTAATTTTTTTTATGCTAGCTTATATCTCACATCAACGAGTGAGGGAAGGATATTTTAAAATAATATATAAGCATTTTTTATTCCTCTTATTTAATAAGAAATTTTTTTAAAAAAAATTAAAAAATAAGGATTGAATTATAAGTAAATTAAAAGTTGAGGGATTGAATCGCAGCAAATCATAATTGAAGGATTGAGTTATAAGTGAGTTAAAAGTTAAAAGATTAAAAATTAATTTTTTTTTAATGACATGCATATCGTTGTTTTGATTGTATTAATTTAAATAATTTTTTATGCTTTACAAAAACAGGAGGGGAAGAGATAAAATTATATTAAGAAAGAAAGTGTATAAAAGAGGCGCACTTTGCTCTGGTTATTTTATTCCTTATATAGTTTCAAGCAAACCCTAAGGCAGAATATAAAGCCACGTATTCATTACAATAAAGAGTAATGAAGCCCATTCTAATGTTTTGCTTATCGGGCTTTCATATTATTGGGCTTCACTGAAGCCAGAACTTTAACAGAAAGAAAACAAAAACTCATTTTGTATCTCATTATTTAAAAACTTTATTTGCATGATCGATAATAATTACATTTAAATTCAAACTTATTATTTTTTTCATAGAAGAGGGGCAAAGCTTGAAATCATGGCAAATAAACTCCGCCAGAGTTGTTAAGTGAAGGCTTGTCAGAGAAGTCCGCTTTAGGATATGGAATAATTTCTAGAAGAATAAAAAAAAAGGAATAAAATTGTTATGAATTAAGGCCATGTTTGCTTATTCAAATAGAATGGAATGTAATAGATTAAAAAAATAAAAATAAAAATAAGATGATCCAAGAGGATAGATGGGCATATTCATAAGAAGAATAGTAATTTAGTTTATGGAGTTGAGAATTATAATTCATGAGATTGTTGGATGGCGTAATAATTCTCACATTTGTAATATATATTAATAAGTTTTATCATATTTATTATAGAGAAAAAAGTAATTTAATTTATTTTTGTTTTAATTTTTTTAATTCATTCTATTCTATTTTATTCTTGTAAACAAACGTGACTTACAAGTCTCGTTTATTTTATGTTTGGTAGGTGATAAAAAGCTAATATGTTATCTTCATCTACAGGCAGTTCTATCCTCCATTTTTGTTATGAATTATGATCAATCCCCTTGAAGGCAGAAGATACATGCCCCACTCTTGTTTTTTTTTTTTTTTTGGTAAGAGAAGATGCTAAAGCCCAAAGAAGCTTGCCCAGTTTAGTTGTAAAGTCTGGCGATAAAAAAAAAAAATAGTTAAGAAGGGAACAGGAAGTCGTTTGGTTCCAAAAAAAAATAAAGAATATAGAAAAAGAAAAAACGTATAAAGGGAAACACAAAAGGCGGGTGATCTTTTTTCTTTTTCGACCGTAAAAGGGTCTTCAACAACTTATCTGACCGCCCACGCGTTAAAGTGCTCGTAATAATTTAAAAAGACGGCTAAAATGGACAAGAGAAGAAGGGTGGGTGGCTGGTCAGAAAAGAAACGACGTTGCGTTTGGCTTCTGCGGCGTCGCACCGGTCAGCTAGCTATGTAGTGTAGACAACGTAAGCAGAACATTAGGTACATGGAACTTCAACGCCTATATGAGTCTTCACAAATCCTAATCACATCTTCTCCACTTCCTTTCCTTTCCCATGTGCGCGTATTTATTTTTTTTGCTTCATTTAGAAACTGTTGAGCGGACGGCTAGCATGGGCTTCATTGACTCCGAAGGATGGCTTCAAAATCAACTTCTCTGATTCAATTTTACTTATATGCGAATATCGTCTGATCTCTGAGCACCCTGTTGTGTACCCATGTTTTTTTTTTTAAAAAAAAATTGATTTTGAAGCCATTTTCCAAGTCAGTGAAACCAGGTGGAAAAAATAAAAAGTAAAAGAAATTGAGCGAACAGGAAGTGATTCTTGAAGACATGAATAATGCCCAAAGAGGAGTGATCAAGTTCGGGTGACGAATCTCTCCATTTTTTTCCTTTCATTTTTTTTTTTTTTTTTTCATTTCAATCATTTATTAATTTTATATTTTAAGACATTTAGTTAATAAAATAATATGGATAATTGAGAAGAAAAAAGTGAAGGAAAACGAAAAAAAAAAAATGAAAAGACGCTTGATCCAACCAAGTTTAGGAAGAGAGAGAGAGAAAAGAGACGAAAAGTCACTAGAAATGATTCAATTTTCTTTTTGATAAAAAGAAAGAGACAATTTTGAAAGTAAAAGATGCCTTACAATTTTTTTTTTTAATCCACGTTGGAGGCAATTTTATTCCGGTTCTAGCTACTATCGGATATTAAACGTGCTTTTATTGTCAAAATACCTATGAATACAGCATGGTTTTACCTGAAGTATATATATATATATATATATATACAGAGAGAAAATTCTAATAAGTGCAAATTATATATATATACACACACACACACATAATTATGTGAATGTGATAGGGTTAACTTAAATAAATAGAGTAAAGAAAGTAAATAGATTTAAAAATTTAGATGATAAATAAAAAATCGGAAGTCAAATTTTAATCATGTTAGTGACCATTTTCTCCATCCTCTTGGCTTCCAGATGTACGTATTTATGTTGTCTCTGTTTGGAGACACTTCTGCTTCTTCTCGTTCACTTTAAGAAGGACCGAAGCGATTTGTTTCGTCACCAGTCATCAGGCACCGCGCAGGTTCTCCCAGTCTCTGAGGTGGCACGGTGACCGCCATGATCAAGTACGGTGAGAGTCAAGTGATGACGGTGAACCCAATATTCCGAAGCGAATCTCTTGGGTACTGCTTGCCGGAGCAGAGCTACTCCATGATGGAGAAGAGGCAGCTATTCCTCAGAAGCTATCAGTTCTGTCGAAAGAAGAGCGTTGCAGAGAGAATCAAAGGGTCATTGGCGCGTGCGAAGAAAGCTGTGTGGCTGTGCTGGCTACGATCCGCTCTGGGGCTGAGGAAGTTACTGTTTTCCAGGTTCAAATGCGGCTTCCATTACCGTCGCCGGAGGTTCTTCCGCCTCTTCAACGTCTATCCCTGCCGCAGAAGCGACTCTTGCTTTTTCTAGACCAGTCCTTTTCATCTTGTCTTCTTAGGTTTAATTTGATTCTTCATACAGCTGCTTTCTCATGATTCTTCGTTTGTTCATGTCTTCTCTCTCCCGTGGTTACCAGAAGAAATTGAATCAATTCAGAATTTTGAGTCTTGCGGCCCTATGGTTATGGGGAAATTTCTTTTCTTTTTCTGTTTCTGAATTGCCAGTTGTTTAGATGAACGTGGTTTAGGAAGCTCAATCCATGGCTCAAAGAGCAGAGGGAAAATCTTTCCTCCTTCCCGGACACAGTCATTTAATTAACCACTAATTTTGTAGAGACGATAACAAAAACAAGTTTAATGCTCTGAAAACTGTCAAAATTTGGATATTAGATCTAATGAACATTTTTCCCCCTTTCCCAGCAACAAATATCAACTAAGTAAAGATCCCAAAATAATCTGAAACGAATATATAGGACGAAGCTCCCTGGCATTGGTAAGATTTTGCTCCGGCGAGCCCACCGGATTAGGGATTTGGATTCACCTTCATGGATCCTAATCGCATTATTATGAAATATGAGTATTTTATCTGTAACTTCATCGTTCATTATCTAAATTAATTAATAAGGTATCCATGGTTAATAATTTTAGAGTAAAATATTTTGATCACTCCTTTATTTTACCTTAATTATAAATATATCTTTTTATTTTTTAAAATTTATATGAATCTCTCCTCATTTATATAGTTACAAAATATAAATGTCTCTTTTATTTTTAAAATTTTATTTTTATTTATCTAATCATTAGTTAACTATTACGGTGAGTGATATGTGTTGGATCAAAATACATTTCTTTGAACACAAATATAGTGTGAAAATCAATCATATTACCTAGAAAAAAAAATTAATGCATATATTTTTCTTTTTAATTTATTTTTTGTTTTGTTTTGAGAACGTATTTATTAGAAACGCAATTGAAAAACTTAACTGAATAAGAATTTTTTTGTTACTATAAATAAAATAAGTATTTAATATAATAAGTTGATTAATATAATTTATAATTTTAACACAAAATTTTAATTTATTATTTAAATATCCACATACATAATTATTTAAATTTTTTAAAATTAGGAGAGGAGAAAGAGTAAACAATTAGATTATTGAGGGAAAATAAATAATTTTAAAATTTTCAATATAATTAGAAACAAAAAAGCTTAAGTATTCCTGAATGTGTTAATAATTGGATCAAAGTATAGGTTTTGAAAATTAAAAAAAAATGTCTATGTAATTTTAGCAAAACAGATAGAAGGTCACTATATTTTACTCATAATTCTAATATGATTAATTTGACTTTTATATCAATAATATTTTATTTTTAGAAAACCAGACAAACATGAATTCTCAAGTGAAGGACGGAGCGAAGCACAAAGAGTCTCAAAAGGATTTAAAAGTTGGAGATTTTGGAAAAGAAAAACCACAATTTCCTGCGATGGACGTGAGAGACGTGTATTCGCCTTTGAAAACGAGCAGGACAAGCACGCTCCGTTTTCCCTTTATACATGTCATAATTGTAAAGTCAAGTTTATAATTCTTATTTTTCAGAACTACTAGTAATACGGCAAGCTGTTTTCACTCTTCACCAAAAAAGAAACTCTGGTTTTCGAGCGATCGAGCAAGTCCTAGCGGGAAGTGAGAGTGAAACTCCGAACCATTGAGAATTTGCTTGAGCGTGCAATATTGAGTGGATTTATGATTCACGAGCAACTGTGCTGGAGGTTGTTGCTGTTAGTTTGGTGCCATTAATTTTATTAATGAAGGTGGAAAGTAATGGCATCACAACACCAAGTGTTACAGAAAAGAAGAAACGCTCGCTTGCTCAACTTCATGGTCCTCTCCCTCTCCAACCGCAACAACCAAAACGTACACTGCCACCTTTAAACCTTGTCACCCACCATCTGCCTCGTTTTTATTGTCCCTGAAATTAGTATCCATACAGTCAGCAATTTCTTTTATGATTATTT